GTTTTTTGTATTATATTTCTATAATAATTGTAAAAAGTAGGTATTAATAAGAATAATTTATTTTTATTAGAATGATACCATTATAATTAGATTCTATAATTGTAATAATAAATTATATTATTTTAAAAATTTTAATTTATTATTTTTTCATGTAGACTCCCTCTTCTCTTTATCTTCATGATTGGATAATAAATATAATATACATATCATATTTACAATTATTATTTTGTATACACTTTTTATAATTATTATTTCTATAATAATTATAAAAATTATATATTCATAAAAATAATTTATTTTTTGTTTCGTAATCTTATAATTATATTATAACTAATTTTTATCCCCAAAAATTAATTCAAAAAAATAGAAAAATAAAATAAAAAACCGTGCTACATGAAATGTTCTATAATAATTGTAAAAAGTAGGTATTAGTAAGAATACTTTATTTTTATTAGAATTTTACAGTTATAATTATATTCTATAATTGTAATTACAAATAACATTATTTTCAAATTTTTATTTTTAAAATTTTTATTATTTTTCCATGTGTACTCTAAGAATATTATATTTATAATTTTTCCTTGAAGCCCTCAAGTCTAAGTACAATTTTTATAATTATTGTTTTTAAAATAATTATAAAAATTAGATATTGATAAAAAATATATATTTTTGTTCGAATCTAATAATTATAACTAATTTTTGTTCTCAAAAAGTAATTCAAAAAATATAAAAAAGAAACAAAAACCTTGCTGCATGAAAGGTTCTATAATAATTGTAAAAAGTAGGAATTAGTAAGAATAATTTATTTTTATTAGAATGGTACAGTGATAATTAGATTCTATATTGTATTACAAATAATATTATTTTAAAAAATTTATTATTTAAAAATTTATTATTTTTCCATGCGTACTCTTTCCCCTCTTTATCTTCATGATTGGATAATAAATATGATATATATTATATTTACATTTATTATTTTGTAGTAAATAAATTGTAAAATAATGTAATGTAATTATAGTTATAGTAAATAATAAATTAAATTTATATGAGAATACTTTATTCTTATTAAAATATTACATTTATAAATTTTCCTTGATTCCCTAAAGTCTAAGTACGATTTCTATACTTTTGTCAAAAAAAGTACGATTTTTATACACATATTTTTATAATAATTATAAAAATTAGATATTGATAAAAACAATTTATTTTTCTTTTGAATTTTAAAATTATAACTAATTTTTGTCCCCAAGAAGTGATTGAATTTTTTTTTTTTAAAAAAAATGCAAAACCGTGCTACGTGAATGGAAGATAAACAGATAATATTAACCCTATAAATATTTTATTCAAAATATTTTTCAATGATAAATATATTTTAATGATTGATATTAAATATCACTACGAGTACAATCCTAAACAATAACATAGTTAATTGAACAGTTTCGACTATTTTTGTCGGAGGTTATATGTTAAGGCCTCCCAGACAAAATGCATGCAATGGCTAATCTCCAGTGTCTAGTAGTCGGGTCAAATCATGCAACTACTCAAAAATGTGTGAAATTTCAAATAAATGCATAGGCTGGTTTTGTTTTTGGTAAATTCTATTCTTAATTTTCTTAAAAAAAACAAAAACAAATATATAAGTTGGGAAAGTCGTTTACATGTTGGGGCAAAGCACATGATGATGTGCAAACCCAACGTCTGTCCCATCCAATTGTAATGAATGGTGCATATCAATCCTGGCTGACCCATGTTTAGAAATTGCGTCACATCTACACCGTCCAACACAACTAGCTGGTCCCAATGTTGAGGCTCGCGCGACAAAAAGTGAGGGCCTTGATGCAAAATCTGGGTCCAATAGTATTTTTATTTGGTCCTCGTCCATCTTCTTTTATGGCTAGCTGAAAAAGAAAATCTTTTAAATGATATGTATGCTATATTATGGGTATGTTTTGAAACAAAATATGAATGGCTTTGCCAACCGTCCCACCTAAGTAATGGACACTTGCCGGAGTCATTTGTATCTGGTTTGGACCTATAACCAGGTTGTAGTATTTTGAAATTACTGAATTGAGGGTAAAATTGATCTTTTTAGTCATTTCAGCAATTTCTCAAGATTTTATGAATGATAACATATAGTACCTCTTTATATCTTACATACATATAAATATGTCCCTCTAGGTGTTTGATGCCAATGATTCATTCTCTTGCTCAAAGTCCATGAAACTCCCCAACCATCCATTGTTAACATTTGAGGGTGTAAGGAGCTGTTTATATCTATGCATAAAATAGATATTTATTGTAATATGATTTCCCTTTTATGATTGCATTCTTATTTTTTCTTTACATAAATAGATTCAAAAAATCTTAGTTCCATGAACACAGATTCTTTCTGAGGTCCATCTACGCCAATTTTATCATTTTTTTCCTCTTTTTTAGATGGACTTGCTCTTATCTTTTCCACTTGGTTGTGCAGCAAATATGAATGTGATTAGATGAACTTAATTGAATGCACTTTGTCTTCGCTTCGAATTTTTTTGATGTTATTACTCATGTAAACTTGGTCTGGTGCAGGATTTATTGGAACTAAGAGAAACTAAAATGGAAAGCTGATGGGAGCAACAGTAGAACAAGCTATTGATCATTGGAAATCCAAACCTCTTCACTATCAACTCTCAATAAAGCCATAGAGCCACTCCCAAACGATCTTCAAGGATATTGGATGAAAAGATTAGTTACACTATATCATTCAGAAAGAAGATTAATTATACCTATATTGCAATCAAACGCAAGATATTCTTGATCAGACCCAGTAGAAATGGAATCAATAACCCAAAAATTGGACTCAATTACCACAAATTCTGGTTTCAATTCTCACAAAACCTCGAAATCACTAAATCCATTCGCCAAAGCATTAGAACCAATTACAACCAAGATTAGTAGCAACCAGCAAGCAAAAACAACAAATAGCCCAAACTACAAAACAAAGAATGGGGTTCCAAGCAAGACTTCTAGCCCAAAAGACCCCATCCATATTAAGTCCCATAGCCCAAGGGCGACAAATTCTCGGAGAGACCAACAACAGACTAGAAACTATGGCAACCCTAAATTCAACAAATCACTTATGGACCCACTTCCTTCTAAAAACTCTAGAAACTCTAAACAGAACTCATCCATATCCAGAGAGTTATTCCCAACCAAAAAATTCGATAACTCTAACATTTCCACGATGTCAAACCTGAACCCTAGCTGTGCAAGTGCTAGTAACTATGAATTTGTAACAAAAGCGGCGAACCCAACATTTCTTACGAAGAATGCTAGTGTCTCTCAGTTAAGCACTAGGACGATGGAATTAATTGCAAAAACAAAAGATACTTTTGGTACAACGGACCTATGCAATGACTCTTCCAGCCCAAACAAGTTCATTTCTAAAACACATAGCGAGAGGTCGGCAAATAGTGATGATAAAACCAGTGAGTCAAATGGTTTAAGCAGAGCAAGTTGTGGGAGCTCTCCTAATGATGGTTTAGAATGCACAAGTAGTGGCATCAACAAACCTCACACTGGGGGTGATGGGAGATGGGAGGCAATTCAAATGGCCAAGTCTAGGGATTCACCGCTGAGTTTGACACATTTCAGGTTATTGAAGAGATTGGGTTATGGTGATATTGGGAGTGTGTATTTGGTGGAGTTAAGAGGAACAAATAGCTTCTTTGCTATGAAGGTTATGGATAAGGCTTCTTTGGCTGGTAGGAATAAGTTGCTTAGGGCAAAAACTGAAAGGGAGATACTTGCTTTGTTGGACCATCCATTCTTGCCAACACTGTATTCACACTTTGAGACTGATAAATTCTATTGCTTGGTCATGGAGTTTTGCAGTGGGGGGAATTTGCATTCCGTAAGGCAAAAGCAGCCCAACAAGCACTTTACAGAGCAAGCTGCAAGGTCGGTATCCAAATCATTTATTTATTTTAGGTGTTGCCATGTATAAGAGTTCTGTTTTATGTAGGCATGGTCTCTCACCTTTTTTATGTCCCTTTTGTGCAATGACCTTTCTTCTCATCAGCTGGTATGCATACAATAAAAGATCTTGTGGTCTATTGGTTTTTTCTATGATCCATTAAGATTCACAAATGGTGTGAGGGGGAAGTATAATAATCATATTTGGGAAGTTGAGTAAAGTTTAAGAGTAGACATTTTTGAAGGGTTAGGTGATCACATCATATTTATGAGACCCCGGCTGACTTCGGCTCTTGATTGATCGGGAAGGTGGATCCGATGATTCGTGAGTCAAGGAGGTTGGGTTCTCATGGAGGTGATCACATTATATTTATGAGATTAGGGACACATTCAACACATATGGGTCAACAAGGAATTCACGTTAGAAGGCCGATATATTACTTCATTTGTTTGAGACCACATCTAACATTTAATTAACTTTGGTCTCAGGTTCTATGCCTCAGAGGTACTCCTAGCACTGGAGTATCTACACATGCTGGGTATCATCTACAGAGACCTAAAACCCGAAAACGTACTTGTCCGAGAGGAAGGCCACATCATGCTTTCGGACTTCGACCTCTCCCTACAATGCTCCGTGAGTCCCACCCTCGTAAAATCATGTTCAGTGCAAGTTGGCTCTGGCACAAACTGGGGCATACTCGACTCCGAATTCCAGCAACCTGGGTGCATCCAGCCTCCTGCCTTCCTTCCCCGTCTCCTCCCAAAGAAAGGTCGAAAATCTAAGTCAGACTCTGGCCCTTCTGCTGCCTTTGGCATCGGAAGTGCGTCAGGAGCCCTGCCGGAGCTCATGGCAGAGCCTACAAGTGCCAGATCAATGTCTTTCGTTGGAACTCACGAGTACCTTGCACCCGAGATCATCCGGGGAGAGGGACATGGAAGTGCTGTGGATTGGTGGACATTCGGTATCTTCTTGTATGAGCTTTTACATGGAATGACTCCGTTTAGGGGAGCAGGGAACCGAGCCACTTTGTTCAATGTCGTAGGGCAACCGTTGAGGTTTCCTGAGACCCCGGCCGTGAGCATGGCCGCTAAGGACTTGATAAGTGGGCTCCTGGTGAAGGATCCTCAACGGAGGATTGCATACAGGAGGGGGGCGACAGAGATAAAGCAGCACCCTTTTTTCGAAGGCGTGAATTGGGCTCTTATAAGGAGCACCACACCCCCTCAGGTGCCAGATCCTTTCGACCTCACGAGGCTCACTGGGAAGGCAGGGCCAGAGACCACAAAGAAGAAGTTTGATGGCAAGGGTGGTGGTGGTGATTCTCATCTTGATTTTGAGTACTTTTAAGTTCCAATGTAAATTTCAGACGTGGGAGAAAAGAGTGAAATGTTTTTGAAAATAGTTTGGTTAAAGAAGGTTTAAGTGCTTAACGTTTTCTCTGATCAATAGAGAAAGTGTTTCACGTAAAATGAGTGACATCTTTCCTTTTCTCTCATTTTTCTTAGGTAAATTTGTAAAATGAAAATTTGAATTGCTCATGGTGTATATCGGTTTTGTGTATAGACTGTGAATCTTGAATGTATTGCAATTTGCAAGTCCCCCATTTTCCCAAAGGCCAAGCCATTGTGTGGAACAAACAGAGTGTAAAGCTGCTCTCTCTCAATTGTTTGGAAGGTGATATGCCTACATGTGTTGTCACTGCGACCAGTAGGATCTGTTATATGTTGTGTTCAAAAAAGTTTTGCACAAGCTTTGGCAAAAGATGGTGTAGATATCATTAAAAGGCTTAAAGTATCTTACAAAATTAATAGAGTGCTTAAAAGATCTTATTTATTGCTGTGGTGTTCACTTTTTAAGTTTCAGGAAAGTATCTTACAAACATTTTGTTGAAAAATTCTTAAATTTCCACTAATGAGGGTTGGGAACCTTTGATTACTCAGAGATGTTTTGGTAAATTAGCAACTTAATTGGCTCGAGAAAAATTAGGAAACAACCTTACATTGTTTACGTGAGGAACATGTAGTTGACAAAACTATCATTTGCTCCATATTATTAATCTTGATCAATCATGGGGATTTTATTCATTTGGTTGTTCCATTTCCCAATCATAAACAATGATGAGCATTTATAATTTGGCTAGAACCACTTATGTAAAATAAATTACTAAGGTGCTCGTAATTGTTAAAATATATTTTCTAAAAATCATATTAGTTATTTTATTTTAAGTGACATAGTGAGATTGTATTAATAAATTTGTGTAATAGGAAGTACGAAACTATTAGGTGGTTAGTAGTTATTGTTGTAAGTAGGTAGTTATTGTAGTAAATGTGGTTGTAAGAACCTCTATTCAAAGATAGGTGATTTGGTCACATGTATCAAATTTGTAATGCTTTTGTGTACCACATTTTTTATAATTAACCGAGAAATTATTATTTTTATGTTATCTTTATTGTTCATCTTCTATTTCTTTGGTGGTGAGTCCTTGGCTAGTGTGACATTGTTACACTAATTGAGAAGTTGATTGTTCCATAATTGTAGCATTTGTATTTCTCCAAATGTTATCAGCATCGCAATGTTGGAAGTAATATTCTTTTGACTCTTTTGATGAAGAAGGTCGATTGCTTTTTTTAAAATGAATTCATATAAAAGGTCGAATGGTTTGTGTAGGGTTGAAGCTATTGTTATCAATGGGTAGCTATTTTAGTAAATATGGTTCTACAAATCTCTATTTAAAGAGATGTGTGTGGTGAGAAAATTAGGTTATATGTATCAAGTCTGTAATGTTTTTGTGTATCCTATTTTCATAATTTAATAAAAAATTATTTTTCTTTCAGCTTATCTTAATTGTTCCTCTTCAATCTCTTTGATGTTGAGTCTTGGGCTAGTGTGATATTGTTACACTAATCTAGAAGAGGATCATTCCAGTATTGTGGCATCCGTCTTTTCTATCCTAATTGTTAAGAATTCTTGACTTTGAACATGGGTGTTTTAAAAAAATTTAAACGAAATTTTTAAAGAGATACTTTTATGAAATCAAACTAAAAAGTAAATTCCGCCGTGGAATATGGGATCTCTTAAGCCCTTTAAGGATTTTGTGAGATAAAAAAATACCTCTAATGATATTTTCTCAAAAAAGTCAAGTTACAAATCAAAATCTCGCAAGAAAATGTGGTAAAAAATGTGATTATGAAAAAGGGAATTTCAAATCTTAAAAATAATTTGAAACGGGAAAAAAAGTGGATTTGGTACTAAAAAGCCTTCAAACACATTAGGGTTGGTAATGGGTAAGTTGACCCGGCGTGGTCTAGTTAGTCCACCCTAAAACTACAGTTTGGTCAAACATTGCATGAGGGCTGGGCCAACACAGCTCAAGGATAAGTCCGGGTCGGGCCTGAGCCAATTCCACAGTAGGGCCAACAGGGCCATAGCTTTTTCGGCCCTATTCAGGCTGGGTTAGGTCCAAAACCCAACCTATTGTCTCCTCTAGCATTATCTCATAATTTTAGATAAGAAAAAATAATTTCAACCCCTATTTTTCATGTAATATTTGAACTATCCATTTTCAATCATTCTTCTAATTCTAATAGTGTTTAAAATCCGATGATTTTCGATTCGGATTGACAATTTTCGATCCGGATTGAGAATCAATCTAGACCAAAGAGATTTTAAAATGGTATAAATTCTAGCCAAGTTCCCTATTAAAACCTTTTTTATATCTTTTTTTTAAGTTTATTTTATATTTTCTTAGATCCCTCTAAATCCGCACCTCATAAATCTCTATTTTTATTTTATTTTTTAGATCATCAATTAAAATCGATCCAAATCCGATTTACATTACCGATCCAGATCTAAGATGGATGAATTTTCACCCCTATTGATCCGGTTTGAAACATTGAATTCTACTATTTATTCTTAATGTTCATAATAAATCTTTAGGCCAATATCAAAAAGATAATAATGTTCACACTCTTCAGGCTACAATCAAAAGATAAAAGATAATAATGTTCGGACAGGCCATAATACAAAAGGTTCACACTCGTCAGGCTACAATCAAAAGATAAAAGATAATAATAATAATGTTCCGGGTTTTGAAACATTGAATTCTACTATTTATTTTAATGTTCATAATAAATCTTCAGGCCAATATCAAAAGATAATAATGTTCACACTCTTCAGGCTACAATCAAAAGATAAAAGATAATAATGTTCGCACAGGCCAGTATAAAAAAGGTTCATACTCCTCAGGCTACAATAAAAAAGACAAAAGATAATAATAATAATGTTCGCACAGGCCAATATTCAATAGATAATGTCCGGTATCAAAAGATAATAAGTTCCCTCTTAAAACCTTTTTTATATCATTTTTTTATTTTAAGTTTATTTTATATTTTTTATTATTTTTTAGATCACCCATTAAAATCGATTCAAACCCGATTTAGATTGCCGATCCAGATCTAAGATGGATGAATATTCACCCATTTTGATCCTGGTTTTGAAGCATTGAATTCTACTATTTATTTTTAATGATCGCAATAAATCTTCAGGCCGCTATCAAAAGACAATAATGTTCGCAATAAATCTTCAGGCCTGTATCAAAAAATAATAACCGTCAGGCCGCTATCAAAAGTCAATAATGCTCGCAATAAATCTTCAGGCCTGTATCAAAAAATAATAACAATAATGCTCGCAATAAATCTTCAGGCCTGTATCAAAAAATAATAACAATAATGCTCGCAATAAATCTTCAGGCCTGTATCAAAAAATAATAACCGTGTGGCTGCTGGGATTCGAGCCCAGGTCTCCACGGCCACAACGTGGAATTCTAACCACTAAACTACAGCCACTAGACATTAGCTTCTTCGACATAATATTAATTTGTCCCCATATATCCAGGGAAGAGGGTAACAAGCAGTTAATACGGCGTTACGGTTTCTTATTTGCATTCTACCTAGGTTGGCAATGCACCAGAGATCCGATAGGAACACGGTTGGGTATGGGTTCAAAAATTAGACTTGAAAGGCACGGTCAGGTTATCCGAACAAGGTCGGCTCCGGGTCCAATAATAATTATTGGTCTCCAATATATATAGCTATTTCAATTTTTGGGACGGGTCTTGCTGTCCAAGTCCCACCTCATTTTTTCCGGTCCATTGCTACTCCTATGTTTACTACTAAACGACCCGACCCGTAAACGCTCCTAATTCTACTTTTGAACTACCCAACCTAGAAAAACAAAAACAGTCCTACCCTCCATTCCCAATGTTAACCTATCAAAAAAAAAAAGAGAAAGAGCTAAGGTGTCGTTTGGATCCATGGAAAAAGATTATCGGAAAAAAGCTAAAAAAGAGAAAAAAAAATTATCGGGAGAAAGCAAAAAAAAAGAAAAAGAACGGGAAAAAGATTACTTGGAAAAAACATTTCCTCTAAACTAGATTTCAACTATTTGGATAGTACATGGATGCATAACATTTTTTTGGCTTTTTTTTTTATGCTTTTTTCATTAATATTTTTTAATGTATTATTCATTATAATGCCATTTTTTTTCATCAAATTTGAGAAAGTTTATCTCCCTAAATATTTGAGATAATTTTTTTCTAAAAATTTTCAAGTAGTTTCACTCTCCATAATTTGATATAGTTTCTCTCTCTAAAATTTTAAGATATTTTCTCTCCCAAAAACATAAAAATTTGAGATAGTTTCTCTCTCTAAAAATTTAGGTACTTTTTTCTCTACAAAATTTCATATAGATTGTCTATCTAACATTTTAAGATACTTTTCTCTCTAAAATTTAAAATATGAGATAGTTTCTTTATTAAATTTTTTGAGATAGTTTTTTCGCTTTAAATTTTTTTACGTAGTTTCTCTCTCTAAAATTTGATAGTTTATCTCTCTCTCTAAAATTTTAGGAGACTCTCTCTATAAAACCTAAAATTTGATAAAGTTTCTTTTTAAAATTTAGAGATAGTTTCTCTCTCTAAAAATCTTCAATTACTCTCTCTCTGAAACTTTAAATTCGAGATAGTTTATCTCTTTCAAATTTAAGGAAATAGTTTCTAACTCTAAAAATTTTGAAATATATTCTCTCTCTAAAAAATTTTGGATTACTTGCTCTCACTAAAACTTAAAATTCGAGATAGTTTATCTCTCTAAAATTTTAAGATACTTTCTCTTTCTAAAACTTAAAATTTGATATAGTTTTTCTTCAAAATTTTTGATATAATTTCTATCTCTAAAACTTTTCAATACTTTCTCTCTAAAACTAAAAATTTGATATGGCCTCTCTCTCTAATCTTTTGAGATGGTTTATCTCTAAAAAATTTGAGGTAGTTTATCTCTATGAGACATAGAAATTTAAAATAAATTCTCCTTTTAAAAATTTTAAAATAGTGTCAGTTTCACTCTCTAAATATTTTCAATTAATTTTTTTTTCTAAAATTTAAAATTCGAGATAGTTTCTCTTTGATATAGTTTCTCTCTAAAGATTTTGAGATAGTTTCTCTATTTAAAACTTAAAAAATTGAGATGGTTTAGCTCTCTAAAATTTTGAGATAGTTTCTCTCATAATAAATTTACAGGTACTTTCTCTCTCTAAAGCTTAAAATTTGTGAAAATTTCTCTCTAAGACTTAAAATTTCAGATAGCTTCATTCTCTTAAAATTTGAAAAACATGAAAATATACAGTATAAATAACTTGTTACAAGATACAATATTTTTAAGACTTGAAATTCTTTTTTTTTTATATCCATACATCTTGAGGTTGAGATGATCAATTTGAAGGTTTTCCATATTAAGAACATGCTTTTCTACTGGATTTTTGAGGTGCACCTTACTTGTTGCAACCTCATGTAAACTTTTTCCTTTTATAAATTCATAAACAAAATTGCATTTTTTTTATTTCTTTGTTTTAAATTTGATGAGACCAATCAATAGTGAATCTTCTTTTGAATCCTCTCATGTGTTCATTATTTATGTTCAAGTAAGTCAACACTTACCCTAAAAGCATAAACTCACCATCCATTCCCCTCTAGTAACTCAAGTGATCTTTTTAGTATTAAGGTTAATCCAGATATCATTAATTATAAGTCAATTTGTTTTCTGAGAAGACACCATGTCAAGGAAATTACAGTAAATACTTTTCAATGTTTTCTACTTTGTGACAAAGGATTCTTTGAACCAGAGAGAATAAAGAAGAAATATACTTGCATCTTTCCTTTTATTAAAGATGTTAGTGATTGAGCCTTGTGTGTGACCTTCCAAAAGCATTTGTCTCTTATCAGCTCTCTTCTTCTTTACCCTTTCCAATAATTTTCTCATTTTATATTTGATCGTGGATATCACATCCAATATTGCTTTGCTTTTTCAGCGTATCTTTGACCATACAATGGTTTGGGGGAAGGGTACATTGATAATTGTAGTTAGTTTAAAGTGGGTCTGATTCATCAAAGGTGTAAATCCTGATTATCAACTGAGCATGGGATAATTATTTTATACTCTCTGGTTTACATGTGCCACCATCAACTGGCTCCAAAACAATAATTGAATGTCGTCTATATGTCTTCTTTCTTCACTGGACATTAATTTAAAACAAGTGACTATCAATAAATAGTAGCACTAATAGTAGTAGTAGTCAGCATCAGAAAATACGAACTCGGAAGGGTCACGAACTAAAGATGTGTCTCACTTCGAATCGTGTTTGACAGATTTGGCTGAGTCTGTCCAAACGTTGTTTAATAATAAGAAACAATCCAACTCGACTGGTTCCATATGTTTTGCAGCTTTTGCTCTAGGTGACACTCTACTGAACCCAAGTAACTTGGATGAGTTCAAGTGGACTCACTGAGTTTTCATATGGGAAATTTTATCAAAATATCCAAGAAAGATGCATTATTCAACTTTTTACATATATGCAACAATTCCAACTCATGATCATGTGTATTTTGATTGGTATTTTGAAATGAAATTAAAAAATATTAAATAATTTATCTCTCATAAGAATCTTAATAAATTTCTCACTTTGAAAGACTCATAGTAGTGGTATTATTAGTGGTTCATAGTAAGGTCATGAAGAGTGAATAGGGCAGCAAACTTCAATAATAATAAATAAATAAATAAAAGAATTGTACATGATAGCTAAGAAGATATCATTGTCAACTTCCGAGCATCATCCCAACTATTTGGGGTCGACTGCACGTATCCCGTTTCGCAATTAGATTTAGGATTCATGTAAAGCTATGACAAAGTTCTTCGTTCGAGAAATATAACCAAGAGAGAGACTAATTCCAATTGAAAACCCTAGTGTTCATGTGAAAGCTACATAAATCAAAGTGGCCCTCCCTGTCTTTTCGTTTTTTTGGCAGTGTTCAAGCCTCCTTTATAACCCACTAACATTTGTATTCTCTTGGGACCTTTTTGCCTTTCCCATTTAAACCATTTGAGCTGAGAGGTTCACACTCATATATGTGGTCAGTGGCCATGAAAAGCAATGCAATGGCCATAAAGAACGCTCTTTTTCTTCAACCATAGTGGAAACCAAAAGGGCCCTCTTTTTCATGAATGAGAGAGAACCCAAATGACCCTACCCTCTTTCTAAGTGTAGGAATGAGAAAACCAAAAGATCTCCTACATAGAGGAAAGAAAAACCGAAGGACCCTCTTTCTTGTAGGAAAGAGAAAACCAGAATGAACATCTATTAGAGGATAGAAAAACCAAAGAACCCTCTTTCAGTTTAGGAGAGAGAACCAAAGTGAAGATCTCTTGCATAGAGGAGAGAGAAACCAAAGAATCCTCTTTCCAATTGCAGGAAAGGAAAAGAAAAAGGATTCTCTCTGTCATGGAGAAGCCCAAAGCAACTCTCTTTTTTATATGTAGAGAGAGAAGATCAAAAGAGCAATCTTCTCTCAAGTAGGAGAGAGAAAGCCCAAAAAGTTACTGAAGTGGGATACAAGGCATCAACTTTAGTTCTCCTTTCTCTTTGGTATAGAGTCTGAAGTCTGAGATCGAGCCTATTATATGGGGTATTCCCAAGGTGGACGGTAGAGAATAAAGAGGAAAGGATCTAAGGCAAAGCAATAGCAAATATAACATGTTCCATTTTATGGATATTAGGCAAAAATGGGGCACATTAATAGGTATAGCACCATCATAGACAGTGTATCAGGTGATGAGGATGGTTGGTCTAGAAGCTTATTCTCATTAGGTCCCAAGTTAACATTAAAAAAGAAAAATTTAAGATTATGGATCAGTGTTATCAAGACTGGGCCAATAGGGCTTAGCTGCTCTAGTCTAAAGCCATTAGGTTTGGTCAAATCGGTCCATTTGAGCGAAATTTTGATAGATTTTTGTCAGATCAACTTTATTGACTGATTGAACTGATTAAACAAATTATGATGAGTTTTCTAATATATTTCATATTTTTATTTATTTTTTATTTATTTTTTACTTTTTTTGTAAAATTCGGTCCAGCTTATTAGACTAACAAACCCCTCATAGGCATGTCAGTTAATATAACACTTGTTTGGACACGCATTCGCATTAGATAAGTGACTTAAAAATATCAGGTCGGTACGGAATCGCCTGATCCGATTCGAGGATCGGTCAACCTATTTCAGTTTTGTGTATATATACGAAAATGACCGAATCTAGAAGGGAAATGGAGGTTCTGCATGGTTAAATGACGATTCTCTATAGTAAAATGGTGATCCGGACCGGTTTTTGGCCAGTTCATTATTTTTTTATGTATTTTTTGTTGTTCCACTATTTTTTCTGCATAGTAAAAAAGGTGATTGGGACCGTCGATTCACCGATCAGGGCCGGTTTTTGGGATGCCATTTCCGAGTCACTGATCTGTTTTTTAAATCACTGATATAGATAGATTAAGAGTCGTGTACATATGGCATTATTATCAAGATACATCTATCTTATCAATTCTTTCACATTTTACTCATTTTACACTATTCCAACTCTAGAAATTGAGCTTGAGCTTGAGTGGTTAGCAGCTAATGAATAACAATGCTACATTTGAAGTTTGATTCGTACCACTGAACTGTAAAAAAAAAAAACTATTCCAACTCATGATCATGTATATTTTGATGAGTTTTTTAAAATTAACTAGAAAATAAATAAAATACCAAATAATTTGTTTGATAAAATTTTCAAAAGATAATAGCCAAGGAAAGGCCAAGTTTGTTTCTTAACCAATGGGTATTCCTTTTGGGGCATTAGACCACGAAGAAATAAGGGTATGTTTCTTTTAGTAAAGCAAACAGTGTTTTTGATGATAAAAGCAGAGAAGGGAAGGGAAGGGAAGGGAAGGGCAGGGCATTCAAATAATTTAGTAAAAAGAGTAGGTGTTATACGAGGGGGTTCCCTAAAGTTGACTCCCATGATTGATTTGATGTTTTTACGTTGTAAATATTCCTAGTTTTGGTGATCCAACGGTCTTAATAGACGTTTCTTATTGCATGATTCCCCCTCCCCCCTTTATGCTTTTCCTTCCTTCAAATCTCGTGCCACCCCCGCATCCGAGGTCTCTCTCCCGCTTTCTTTTTGGGGCAGGGTGGGGCGGGGCGAGGCGAGGTTTGTATAATGTATTAATCTTCTTATAATACTCAACTAAGGTGTACCTAAAAACTACGATGAGAATCGCTATTATTTTTTTTAATTATGAAATTTAAATTTTTAAAATCGAACATGTCTATAAACACTTGTAAATTGACTGTCTATAAGATGAATTATTTTTAAGACTAAATATCCATTTTTTTTCCTGTCTACGAATTGAATCTTGAAGTCTAGATGACTGATTTGAAGATTTCTCTAATGGGTTCTTTAGGTGCACCTTACTCGTACAGTGTAAGGTTGATACCTTATAGGTGCTTTTTCCTTCTTTTTGTAATGGCTCTCTCGTAAACACTGGTTCTCTTTCAATAACTCTCCCTCCTCCTCGCAGTTGTGGCTCCTCTCTCTCTCTCTCTCTCTCTCTACTGAGTACGAACTCTGTTCAAATATCTGCTTTCCTTTCAAAGTCACATTACCATTTTCAGAACACAAATACCACCTTCAAATGCTTGTAGGACCCTTCATTTATGTATCCATGCTCTATTTCTCAAGCTCTCTTCCTTAACACAGTACCCATCCTCCTAAGATGATGAAGTTCCTTCTTGTTTCCGTGCTGTTCTCTCTCCTAATCTCCAATTCTCTCTCTACCTTCCAAGTCTATGATTCCCATCCCAGCTCCAGAGATGCACAAGCCTTGATATCACTAAAACAGGGTTTTCTCTCTCCAGACCCCATATTAAATAGCTGGAATGAATCCAATATCCACTCCCTTTGTTATTGGAAAGGAATTCGATGTGATCATTTCCAAAGAGTAGTATCTGTCGACCTTTCGAATTCGAATATATTTGGTGTAATCTCACCATCTATCGGTAACTTGGAACATTTAGTGAATTTATCCCTCGCCGGAAATGCTTTTTCAGGCAACTTCCCACTGGAGTCCGGCAACCTTACGAGCCTTCGCTCCCTTAACATATCAAACAACTCCTTCAATGGAAGCTTGGACTTGGGTCTCTTCTCTCTCTTGCATTTAGAGGTCTTAGATGTCTATAACAACAACCTATCAGGTCCTCTGCCCCAAAGTGTTGCAAAGTTGAAGAAGCTGAAACACTTGGATCTTGGGGGCAATTATTTCTCAGGTGCTATACCTCCATCCTATGCTGGCTTGAAAGAGCTTGAGTTTCTCTCCCTAGCTGGCAATGACTTGAGTGGTGTAATACCAGGTGAGATTGGGGAGCTCACAAATTTGAAACAGCTCTTCTTGGGCTATTTCAATGACTTTGATGGGGGTATTCCATTAGAGATTGGGAACCTCACAAACTTGCTTCACCTTGATCTCTCCAGCTGTGGTTTAGAGGGAGAAATACCTAAACAATTGGGAAATCTATGGAATTTGGACACTCTCTTCCTACAAACTAATCTCCTCTCGGGTCCTCTTCCACCCCAGTTAGGCAATCTCACCAGACTGAAGTCTCTAGACATTTCAAATAATGAGATCACTGGTGAAATACCCATTGAGTTCTCTAACCTCACAGAGCTCGCTCTCATCAATCTCTTCATAAACAAACTACATGGAGATATACCCGATTTCGTCTCCAAGCTGCCAAATTTGGAGGTCCTCAAGCTATGGCAAAACAATTTAACAGGGGCTATTCCTTCTGAGCTCGGTTCTAATGGAAGGCTTAAAGAGCTTGATCTCTCAAGTAATAGGCTCACTGGTTTGATCCCTCAGTCTCTGTGCTCAGGTAGAACGCTCAGGATACTGATACTTTTGAACAATTTCTTATTTGGTATGATCCCAGAGGATCTTGGAAATTGTCTTTCTCTCTCTCGAGTTCGGTTGTCACAAAATTTCCTAAGTGGGTCAGTTCCAAAAGGCTTCTTGTACCTTCCTGAGCTTTCATTAATGGAGTTGCAAAACAATTATCTCACAGGAAATTTCCCTGATGAACACACAAGAGTTGCTGGAAAACTAGGCCAGTTAAACCTATCAAACAATCGTTTATCTGGTCCCCTGCCTCTTTCTATTGGGAATTTCCCGAGCCTTCAGATTTTGCTCTTAAGTGGTAACCAATTTACAGGCTCAATTTCCTCCGAGGTAGGTAGATTACAGCTTGTTTTGAAGATTGACTTAAGCAAAAACAATTTCTCAGGAGAAATCCCAGCTGATATCAGCAAGTGCTTGCATCTCACTTACTTGGACTTGAGCACGAACATGCTTAGTGGCCCAATTCCGGCTCAGTTAAGTGAGATTCACATCCTAAATTACCTCAATCTCTCTCATAACATCCTTAATGATGCAATCCCAAAAGAAATTGGTACCATGAAGAGCTTAACAGCGGCTGATTTCTCATATAATGATTTATCAGGCAAGGTGCCTGAATCTGGCCAATTTACTTATTTCAATTCCACTTCCTTCCAAGGAAATCCACAGCTTTGCGGCCCATTTGTCAACAGAACTTGTGTTTTTCCCGCAAACCCGACTGAAATCTCTGTGAACAAACCTCGAATTCAAGCCAAGTTCAAGCTGATTTTTGCATTGGGCCTTCTAATTTGCTCCCTAATCTTTGTATGTGGGGCCTTAATCAGGACCCGTACCCTAAGGTTCCAGACCCATTCAAGGAAATGGAAGCTCACAGCCTTCCAAAAGCTCGATTTTGGGGTCGAAGACATATTGGAGTGCTTAAAAGATAACAATGTGATAGGAAGAGGAGGGGCAGGGGTTGTTTATAAGGGAACTACGAGAAAAGGAACGCAAATTGCGGTGAAGAAATTGTTGGGTTTCGACAAAGATTCATATCATGATAATGGATTTTCGGCTGAGATTCGAATTTTGGGTCAAATTAGGCATCGGAATATCGTTAGGCTCCTCGCTTTTTGTTCAAACAAAGAGACCAATTTACTGGTTTATGAGTACATGCCAGAGGGTAGCCTTGGAGAAGTTCTTCATGGAAGCAAAGGTGGGTTTCTAGATTGGCAGAAAAGGGTTAAGATTGGGATTGAAGCAGCAAGGGGACTGTGCTACTTGCACCATGACTGCAACCCACTGGTTCTACATAGAGATGTGAAATCAAATAACATATTGCTTGATTCAGAGCTTGAAGCCCATGTTGCCGACTTTGGGCTGGCAAAGTTTTTGTTGGATAATGGGACCTCAGAGTGCATGTCTGCCATTGCTGGTTCTTATGGGTATATTGCACCAGGTATGTATTGTTTCTATCCTTCCTCTTTTATTGATAGTACTAGTAATTTACTAGTAGTAAGGGATCAATATTTTCCCCTATGTTTTTACTAGTCCTACCCAAATGAATTGGTTGGTAAATGAAAATGTCCTTGGCATTACTACTACTGGGATTATTTCTGATATTAGTGTCTTTAATAGCAATCTCATAATAAACATCATTACTCTCTTAAATGACAATATAATTATTTCTCTAATACTTCATTTCATAAGCTAATCCTTCGTTTCCTAATTCATTAGTGAATCCACTTACCAAAGAATTGTAAAAAAGATGGGGATTTTGAGGACATGTTCATATAAAAGGATGTATTAGCATGATGTTTTTAATGGTTTTATCTCTCTGGTTCAATGGACTCTCCCTCATATTTGAAGTTTTCAACCATAAAAAAAACCTGAGCTTTGGGCTCCGAATCGAAACCGAAAGCTGATCCCTTGACTATGTTTGTTTGTTTCTCCTTTGATTGAATTATATCTAATAAAGTTGGGGAACGAATTGATTTTGAAGCAGGCTTTTGTTTACTGACTGCACAAACAAAGAAGTGAGCTTTTCCTTTTTCTTTTTCTAACTCTTGGTAATTCTCTTTAACGCGCAGAAACCCAAAGGATAATGCACATTGACCACACTTTTTTTTCTTTTGACTAGGGTCATTTGAAGACCAAAGAGACCTTAACTAGCCTTTTTTGTCTTCATTATTATTTTTAATCCCAAAATTTTGCACTGCTTCTACTAATAATACACTTTAATCAGGTATAACGTCTTTTTTTTATCATCGTTACATTCTAAGCCAATGCGCTTTATTTTTATTTTTTAACTTTCTTACTTCTTAAATGCTAATATTAACTCGTGACCTATTTTGTTAAGAGAAAATATCACTTAGATGGTCAAAACACTTTTATTTATTTTTATTAATTATTAGAAATTTTTTTATTTTTTTTATTTTTATTTTTTCAGTAAAGAACGCAGGCCCTGCCTGTTTTTTCAAATAGGCAGGAAAGAAAACTACTACGTGATGACTAAAGTGTGGGTGTACTACCATCACGACCCTAACCCCTTTCTCAATAGATTTGGTGGAATGATTATTTTCTAGTTTCCATTTAAATACCTACTAAAAATATTTTAAAATTAACCAAATTGTTTTGGCTCAAGATTGAGAACCTGAATATATAAAATCATGTTGTTAGTTAGCCACATTTAGGTGGTCTGACTCGAATAATGAGAGTTCCCCTTGTTTAGGCTACAATGTGGAACATGCTTTCAATACTAGAATTTCTTGTTCGAGGTTCCTAAACTGGAACAAGTTGGGTTTTTACATTATTACGCGTAGGATTAGTAAAAAAATAGTAAATTTTTAAGATATTTTTAAAGAAAGTACATGAGTGATATGACGCTTAAAAAGTAACCATTAGGACTTGACCACATTAATGATACTGTAAATTAGTTTGACTAGTTAAATGATATAGCAAAGTAGTCCATGTGTGGGTTGCCTTATTGATTCAACTCATCCACTCATGTTCCCACAATATGCCTACTCCACTAAACCCCATAATATATGCTTAATCTACTTTACTTTCCGCCTAACTTTATGTACTTCTCTGTTTTTTTTCTTACTTGATTGGGTTGTCCAATCAAAATATTATACAAATCACTATAGATATTTTGCTTCATTAGAGCAATTACACTAAGAAAAGGAAAACTTCCCATCTCTTATATCACATACTCATTTAATTGTTTATTTTTTAACAGAGTATGCATACACTCTAAAGGTTGATGAGAAGAGTGATGTTTATAGCTTTGGGGTGGTGTTGGTTGAGTTAATCACTGGAAGAAGACCTGTTGGGGAGTTTGGGGATGGAGTGGACATTGTGCAATGGGCCAAGAGCACAACAAGTGCATGCAAGGAGGGCGTTTTCGAAATTTTGGATTCAAGGCTTAAAGATATCCCTATTGAGGAGGCTAAGCATGTATTCTTTGTGGCCATGCTATGTGTTCAAGAGCAAAGTGTGGAGAGGCCCACCATGAGAGAGGTGGTTCACATGCTTCAACAAACCAAAAGCAACCATAACTTGATCTCTAATAGTGATAAATATCCAAAGAAGAACCCCTAAGGCCCCTCATAATGGGGTTTCTTCTTCTCTCTATAATTTTGAGAGCTTCTCTCTCTCTCTCAATGTGGTTTCTTCTTGTTCTTCTCTCTATAACTTTGAGAGTTTCTCTAAGTAGTTCTCTCTCTCTCTGTCTCTATGGATTTCTTCTTCTTTCTATCTCTATAATTTTGAGAGTTTCTTCTTGTTCTTCTCTCTATAAGTTTGAGAGTTTCTCTAAGTACTTCTCTCTCTCTCTCAATGAGCTTCTTCTTCTTTCTCTCTCTATAATTTTGAGAGTTTCTCTAGGTAGTTTTCTCTCTCTCATTCTCTCTCATTTTGAGAGTTTCCCTAGGTGGTGGAACTAAGTTTTAGGTGGGATTTGCATTGATTTATCCAAAAGAGTTCATTAGGTATAATTTGCATGGATTGTCCAAAAGAGCATGCGGTTGTTAACATGAAAGCTTGTTATGTTTGGAAAAGTTTCGAGGATTGTCCCAAAGATGGGAATAGTCATCGAAGTTTGAGGTTTTGTAGTGGATGGACACTGTAAATTAGAAAAAGTCCTATATGTATTCCATCTTCCTTTCCTTCCATCTCCTTCAATTCCAATTTGTCTTCTTTCGTTTAAACAAATAAAAGAAATTTAAAAAGAAAATAAAAGAAAAGCTCACGAAGGATACCATGTGTGGCAAGTTTCCATGTTATCTCTTGGAAGAAGAGAGTGTTTAGTAGAAGGTAACAAAAAAAACAGATGGAAAAAAATATTGGCGAAAGGGCTAACTGAGGAGAGATGTTACGTGAATACAAAAATCTTTTTTTAGTTGGTAACTTTATTATTATAATTTTGGGGAATGATTTCATGCAACAGTTGTTTGTATAGTAGCATAATGCAATCATGTTAAGAAATAATGTTGAAGACATTTGTTTGACACGAATTTTTAAATGTACGCTGTTTGCATTATGAAGAACAAACACAAAAGAAAATTTTGAAAAAAATGCTTTAGAAAGTGGTTTTCTAGCCCAATTAATATAAGCCGTCTATTTTAGTAAGACGGTTAAATATGGGCCTCAAAAGAATTTTTTTAATCCCAAAATTTTTATATAGTGTTATCATCGTTACATTAATAATGCTACAAACAAAAAAAAAAGTGATTTTGAATTTGTAAATGCCTAGATCTTGAAATACAACAAATAGAAGGGCAAGATTTATTGTTGGAGGGTACTAATTTTAACCATTTCTAGGGGTGTAAATTGAATTGTTTTTCTAGAATTGATTATGAGGATGAAGAGAATGTGTGTGTAAAATTTGGGGTCATACAAATGCCAAAAACGTGGTTTTCTAGAGGTGTGGTTGCATTATACTACTATACAACCATTGCATGAAATCATTTCCCAATTAATTTTATGCGAACAATAGCCATCTCATATGATACAGTCATCTTCTTCTTCTTCTTTTTTTCAGTTTTTGGTAATTGGGAAGACAAGCTCCTACATGGTTTTTTCAAATAGTTTAGGAGTTAGCTTTTCTAAAGGCGTTAGGGGGTAGTATCAGTGGGAATGAAAACCACATTGTGGTGATTGGGGCGTGGAGGTGCTACCACCACAACCCCAACCCCAACCCTTTTCCCAAGACGGGCATCTTGATTGATCGCAATTATAGAGTGATAATGTTGTTAGTTGACTTAAGGCCACCAATGGGTTAAGCAGGGTTAGGGCAGCTGCAAAACTAGGGCCTAGGTAACAAGTTATGGCCCAAGAGCTGTGTCCAATTTTGTTAGATTCATTTCAGAGTTTTTTTTGGTTTCGTGAAAAAAAATGAAGCAATTTGGTGCTTCAGCCGATTCGGGAGAAGACTTCAGATTTTTTTTTTTATAATACAAATAATGAAAAATAAAAAATAAATAAAAATAAAAATTATTTTTATATAGCTATTTTTTTGCTGGCTGCAGCAGACCCAAAGTGAACTCGAAGCAGATCCGAATCCGACCGAAGTGGCCTAATTTGACCGAAGCAGCAACATCAAGCTTTGCTTATCTTCGATTTATGCCTAAAATCCGAAGGCTTCAACCTCTTCGGCGAAAAAATTTGATAACATTGGCCGTGTCAATGCTCAAGGGACGGCCCAAGTTGGGCTAAGCCTACAAGAGGCCTAGCCGGACCAATCCTGATTCATTTTTCGTTTTTCCATTATTTTATTTTATATTTATTTCATATGTGACTCTTGTAGGCTTGGTAGATAGGGCCCCCTCGCCCTGATCTCTAGGTCTAGACCCTAAAGAGAATGTAGGGCAGGGCAAGGATAAAAGGCACCCTATCCACAGAGAATGTATAGCAGGCGCTTGAGAACTAGAGTTTAGGGTAACTCATGTCACATGTTTTTCTATTTTTTAAACAATATGCATTTAGAGATTTTAGAAGATATATTTGAAAAATAATGAAAGCATTACTGATGGAGAAAATCTATTAAAATTGAGAGAATTTAGAAGTAAAAATCTACAATATTGTTATCGTGTGGGACGTATTATGCAAAGAGCCTTAACAAAAATGTGGCTCAAGAGGGGAAAGTTATGATTTCCAATTACTTTTAAAATACGTTACTAGGAGAGGGAAACTTTATGAGAAATTTGGTTAGCTCCGAGAGAGAGACAAGAGATAGGGTGAGTTAGACTTTGCCAAAAAGTCTTTAAGATTGAGGAATATTTTTATTTTTCAATGATTTTTTAATGAAATGGAAGCCTAGATCTTACATGAAGTAGGTGGTGCTACCACTACGACCTCAACCATTCTCTTCTATATGTCATTAGGTATGAGAGGAGCTTAGGTGAGATATAGGTGACGCTACCACCACGACCCCAACCCCATTCTCTTCTATATGCCATTAGGTACAAGAGAATTATATATGCCACCCCAACCCCATTCTCTTTTATAAGAGAATTATATATGCCACCCGGTTATTCCTTTAAAAAGAGAAGACTCGTCGGTTCTGAACAGCAAATCATTTCCATAAATCGCGTGAATGTCAGTAAATCATTCGCATAAATCCCGTGAATGACATCATAGAAGCATGATGTTATAAATCGCGATTCTACACATATACCTTGTGTTAGGTTACACTGGCCCCTTTTCTGAACATGTTAACAGTTATGGTATTGAGGAGGTATTTATTCCCTTCAAACTTATTCGATGTGGGATTTGAACACGATGATATAGCGTTGAGACATTAATTCAATACGTTGAGACATTAATTCAATACGTTAAGACGTTAATTCAATATATACCATTATTATAAAAAATAAATCAACACTCGGTGACGTTGTGCAGTTGGTTATCCCAAGTTTGAACCTCTGGGCCGTTATCCAGCCTTTTATTTTGTCTTCAAAAAAAATAAAAAGAAGAAAATAATTTCATCAAAAAAAATAAAGGGAAAAAAAAAAAAAAACATAATACAATAAGCATTTTTTGTCAAAAAAAACAAAAAAGGTAATGCACATCTTCTTATTTTTCTTGTCCAAAAAAAAAAACAAAAGATAATATAACAAGTATTTCTTGTCAAAAAAATAAAATATAAAATATAAGAAAATAAAAGGTACCTTGGCAGCATCATTTTCTTAGTTTTCTTATATATAAAAAAAAAGTAATGCAACAAGCCAAAAAAAAAAACGTAATACATCTTCTTATTTTTCTTGTCAAAAAATAAAAATAAAAAGTAATACAACAAGTACCATATTTTTCTTGTCAAAAAAAAAAAAAGATAATACAATAAGTATTTCTTATCAAAAAGATAAAAGGTAGTTCTTAATACAACTTAAGAATAAATAGTCTAATTTATTTTATTTTATTTTTTTATAACATAGTTATGTTTAACATAAACTTAGGAATATTAATTCAAAGATAAGGTTCATAAAATGAGGCCATTTGAAATCTCTCTCTCTTTATTTCCACTAAATTTATTCTAGAAACCTAAAAATTTAAATTTTTGAAAAATTAAAGTGTTATTTCGAAAATTGGTACGCATTTTAATAATTTCTACATTGATAACCAAATCTTTTATTTTATTTTTTAATTTATTTGCATTATAAATCATGGTACTATTTTTCTTACAGTTGTCAATAATACATTTTAAATTAGATGATATTATAAGATATTTTGGATTTATTATTATTTAAAATAAAATAATTATAAAATGTAACCCAAAAATTTCAATTTTCAGTATATAATATTATAGTCAGTTAGGTTGTAATAATTTTGGATTATAGTTAGTTAGGTTGGGTTATTTTCAGCGGATTAGAGTTTTCTGCCAATTCGAGATTTTAGTGGCTATTTTTTCATCAATTTAATCTATTCTTTATTGTAGTCTAAGTATGATTATATATTTTATTCATGATAATTCTATGTTTTTTTTTATGTGATATAAATTTAATGGTTAACATAAGTTCATACAGGAAAATAATATCTTAATATTCACATATTGATGAAGAAAATGAAAGTTAATAATGTAGTACCATCATTTCTTATTGGATTCCTAAAAAACAACATTTATAATGAATTTTAATAATTTTTTTGGATTTTTTTAAGGCTTAATTAAACTGATTCGGTCGATTCCCGATTCGGATCGTCGATTTACCGATTCAGATGGAGTTTTTGGGTGCCCGATCTGGGGCACTGATCCATTTTTTAAACCACTGATGCCACCACTATCTTAACCATCCGATCCGTTGAACAACTAAGATGACTTTAATCATAAGGCCACACTTAAATACTGTTATATTTTTTATTTTTAATACGGTCATTGGATTTTGAAAGAAATATTTTTTTATATTATTTTGAGTTTCAAGGGTTTCTATATTCTCATAGAGCTAAGCGGTAATGCGGTCATAGTATTTTGTAAGAAATATTTTTCTATATTCTTTGATGTGTGACCTTATGAGAGCACGGCACATCAGAAATTTGGTGTCAATATGATTTGCAGAAATACTTAAAAATAAAATAATATGAACAATCTGATCAAGATCAAAGGATCACAGACACACTTCTGACATTACTAAAGCAATCATCTCATCGATCGGTTTAGATCAGATGGCAATTATCTCATCGATCGGTTTAGATCAGACGGCTGGGAGAGGGGTGGCCGAGGGTAACATTTATAATGATAATGTACAAGGCAACTTGAGAGTAGATCGAGTCACCATAGTGATAATGCACAAAATAATTAGGGTAGATTAAGTCACTATATATGCCATTGCATATAATGAATCCATACTTTACTAAGGCCCCAAAAGTTGCCCTAAACAATTGAAATTTGTAGTATATGTCATTTGAATACTGACTTAATTTACTATAGAAAGAGAGAGAGAGAGAGAGAGAATCTACAATTGGGTACAAACCAACGATATATATTGGGGTGCGGTTTGCATAGAGCCTAGGCTCTAAACAATCAAATTAGAGCCCACTTTCAAGTAGTATTTAAAAATATAGTTTCAATATTGAAAATATTTGTGATAGCCTTAAAATATATTTCCATCCTTATTTATAAATTTTAAAGTTTCAAAAATAATGTAGATCGATAGATCTATGAAAACTTGAAAATCTTG